TTCCTCGAGTTCTCGGCCTGACATGGATGTCTTTATACTTGGCGAGAAGCTGGTTCATGTGTTTGGTTGAGGTCTGAATATCAAAAACCACCCTTTATGCTCAAAGATTTTCTTAGGTCACACATGTTAACTAGAACTTGCTCTGCGGGAGTGAGGGTCCGACCCCGGGTGCGCTGTGAAAAGATGTTGTCACTCTCCACCTCCTAAGGGTTTATTTAGGGTTTAGGGTTTAGGGTTTAAGGGTTTAAGGGTTTAGAGTTTAGGGGTTTAGGAGCCAAGGCAGTCCCTACACTCTACTCAAGACATGCGACACGTCCTGCCCAATCCCCGAAGAAGCACCAGTGACCTGCGTTGCACAGCCACTTTCTGTTTAGCCTTTCGGGTGGAGGCCTCCGGCTTCAGAGTTTAGGGCTCAGGGTTATGAGGCTCATTTGGGCTTAGGTTAAGGTTTTCACCCCCAGGTTTAGGGCCTAAGTTTGTGTCTTGGTAGATCTAGGGCCTATAAACCCTAAACCCTCAACCCCTAAACCCTAAACCCTAAACCCGAAACCCTAAACCCTAAACCCTAAACCCCTAAACCCTAAACTCTAGGGCTTTCTGGTACATTCTGAGCTCCCACCAGGGCGTAGCCACTGCCATCGCTTCGGCAGCCCGCCGAGGGCGAAGGGGACTGGGAGAGTTCAGCAGCGTCCAACAGGAGAGCCAGCACCTGGGCTTTATGAATACTGTAGGGGTTTAGGGGTAGGGTTTAGGGTTTAGGGTTTAAGGTTTAGGGTTTAGGGTTTAGGGTTTAGGGTTTAGGGTTTAGGGCTTAGGTTTTATGTTTTAGGGTTTAGGGTTTAGGGTTCTTGAATATTGTAGGCATTAAATAACTTTGGGAAGTATATCGTACCATGAATATGACAAAGGAGCCCAGAGGAACACCATTCTTCGCTATTGAAGCTTCGAGTTACGAACATTGTCCTGCGGCTTAGACTTGACATTCTGAAGGTTGTCTTTGATGTGCGCCCCGCTGTTCTTCGTGTCATTTCCCTTTCAGGGTTCTGGTTTGGGGTTGCTAGTTCAGGGCTCGAAATCTCGGGCTTTAGGGTTTAGGGCTTTTAGGGTTTAGGGTTTGGATTGGCTTTTCTTACAGAGAATACAGGGGTATAGGGCATTAGGTTAGGTTCAGGGCCGTCTCAAGCAAACAAGAATACCACACGTAACCTTAATCCCGAAAACTTTCCTGTTTAAGGGCATATTTTAAAGAAAATCATAATGAGGAGCCTTAAAAAATATTAAAAATCATATATCCCAAAGTGAAACAGCAAGACTCATTTCGCCAAAATCAAAAAAACTCACTGAGGAGCCCGAAAAGACTGGGTTCTTTTGGGTCCAGTGAGGCTCGGGTCTCAGAGGGTTTAGGGTTCAGGGATTAGGGTTCAGGGTTAAGGGTTTAGGGCTCAGGGTTTAGGGAGGATCGCTTTGCGGACCCTTCGCTGAAGTGCGCGTCGCTTCTGCTGCGCCCCGGCACGACCAAGAGAACTGCCGTCGCCGCCAGGAGGCGCAGGATGCGGAGAGTCCTGAGCTTTAGGACTTGAGAATCAGGGTCTAGGGTCAACATTTAGGGCCTAGATTTAGAATTTAGGTTTTAGGGTTTAGATTTTAGGGGGGTCTAGGGTCAACATTTAGGGCCCAGATTTAGGGTTTAGGTTTTAGGGTTAAGGGTTTAGGGTTTAGCTTTTAGGGGGTTTTAGGGTCAACAGTTAGGGATTGATTCCCTGTAGACATGGGAAGTTAAGGTACGTGTGCTTGTCAGCAGGCTTGTATCGGATTTCGTGTTGGCGATGTAAGCCCTGTGAACCTTGAGGGTTACCTTGTAGGCTCCTAAACTTAGCTGCTGAGTTCATGAGCACAACGCAGTGTACACTTTCAGTTCTATAAGGGATCATATTCTCCCAGAAAGTTTAAAGTGTACTCAATCAGGTACTAAGTACACATAAAACAAGTTTAACTAAAATGGCGACTATGTGTAGTGTATGGGACGGGACCCGAAACCCTTAACCCTTCACCTTAAGCCCCAAACCCAAACTCTGAACCTAAACCCAGAATTAAAACGAAACCCTATCTGTTGGAGCTAACCTGGACCCTACAGAACCTACCATCTAAGGGTTCCTTATTTAGTAACCCTAAACCCTAAACCCTAAACCCTAAACCCTAAACCCTAAACCCTGAAAAAAGTAGGTTACTTGGGGTTAAGTTAAGGCGTCAAGACATGGCGGGGCCTGGTTTGCCTTCCACCACAACAAGCCCAGAGAACCCAATATACCTTAATTAGGTTTAGGGTTTAGGGTTTAGGGTTTAGGGTTTAGGGTTTAGGGTTAAGGAATATACCTTAAATTATAGGGGCCTTAATATTATGATTTAAGGTATATTCCTTAATCAACGGGCATTGGGTTCTCTGGGAGCACCAAGCATCCATCGGGTGGGAAGGAGCGCCAGAATCAGGAGGAAGTAGGCAGAAGGCGGCGTGGAGTTCAAGACCTCATACTAAACCTTAAACCCCAAAGCTTGGCTGACTTCTGAACCCCTCCTAAAAGTTAAACTTTTAGCTCCTTTATTATGGTTCATATAGAACCCCAAAAGTTAAAGTCCTAAGAGCCAAGCAAAAGAACGCCAAGTAAACCTAAAGCCTAATTCCCCAAACACAGCTCAAAGCCGCACAGTAGACGAACGCAACAGGCTAGACTCCCAACAATAGGTGTAAGCAAAGCGATGATCGATTTTCGACGTTCTTGCTGCTTCGTTACGACCAGCAGACCCAGACCCCCAAAAGGATCTAAAAAAATAGTTCCCCTAAGGGGGTTCCTATAAAGTACCCTTTAGTAGTTAGGGTCCCTAATCAGGGGATCCATTCTTTAGATCCTTTTGGGGGTCTGGGGAGGTGTGAATTAGGGAGCTCTGCTTAGAACAGCTACAGTGGCACAGGGCGTTTGCGCTAAGCCTTGCAGGGCTTAAGAGCTTTGCAAATTGTGCATTCTACAGGGCCCGCTGAGGAATGCTACGCCGCATAACTAATCCATCGTATGCCCGGGCACACGATGCAGGAACGTCCAATCAGCCAGCAATGCCACGCCCGTCACCTGATATGATCTGAAGTGGATCTCAGCCATTATGAGCCTGTTGCATTCGCCAAGACAAGTGCGGTTTATACCCTAAACTACTCTGAAACCCGTCACACACTCTTCGGCGAAGCAAAGCGTCGAGAATCTCGGCGGCTTCCGTTCCTGATTCCTGAACTCTGCATGGACCCTTAGGCACTTAGGCTGATGCGATCACCAGATGGCCGTGTTGTAGGGGAATTTCTAAATGGAATAGAGTTTTGGGGTAATTGCAGAAAAGTTTACGAAAAATAGCGATTATGAGGGGATCGTCTTCTGACTGACAGGGGCGCTTTTTGGGGGGTCTCGCAGGGTCTTCCTCGAAGCTTGGCAACCCCAAACCCTAAACCCTCAACCCTAAACCCTGTGTTGCAACCCCCAGGCCCCAGGCCCTATAAACCCTAAACCCTACACCCTAAACCCTGAACCCCAAACCCTAAACCCTAAACCCTCAACTCTCAACGGCCTCGGCGAGCAACAGCGCAACGCAGGCTCCCAGGACGAGATGAAGCATGAAGCTCCCCATGCCAGACTCCGCGCTATGGCCAGGCACCATGGCGTGGGGTAATGTAGGGGCCTTAATAATAACAATAATTATTATCAATACTATATATATATATATATATATATATATATTGATTGGGGGGTGCCTTATTATAAACACAGTATAATGGGCCCCAAAATTATCAATACTATATATTGGGGGGTTCCTTATTATAAACATAGCACCCAAAACCCTAGGCTAATTATCAATACTATATATTGGGGGTTCCTTAATATAAACATAGCATAATGGGCCCCAAAACCCTAGGCTAATTATCAAGGCCCCTATATTATTTAAGAGCAAGAGGAAGGGTTTCTCAAGAAGGGTGCCTTGCTCGGCTGCTGAAATCCTTCTACTTATCGGTGCATCCTGCGCATTTCGGGAAAGCCTCCGGATCGGTTTAGGGTTTAGGGTTTAGGATTTAGGCTTTAGGCTTTAGGGTTTAGGGTTAAGTTTAGGGTTTAGGATTCTTCTAAACTTCTAAAGCCTGTAAATCCTAAACCCCACTGTTGGCTTCATTTTCTTGGCCTCATACCTGGCTTGGGTTCGGCAGCTGCGGAAACACTGCATTCCCGGCGATTATCGATGAAGCCTTGCCTGGATCCTAAGTGGAACACTAGCCTTTTATAGGTGCCGGGCAATTATCTTTCCTAGGTGCGGCCTTGGAACACCCTCCAGCCTACACCTTGCGCACCTCTATAACGCAAGCCCAAACCCCCCAAACCCCGAACCCTAAACCGTAGGCCCTGCAAGCCCGAAACGTCCAGGTCCCACCTCCGACCCCCAAATGCCATGGGCCCAGCCCTATCGACCTGTTGTCATCGCTGAGACCCTGAACCTTGCAGCACGAAGCCGGTCTTAAAACCCTCGCAAAGACCATACCGTGCCTTCGAGATAAGTGCGTAGGCACCTTGAACAGAATTAGCTAGACCCTAAACCCTAAACCCTAAAACCTAAATTAGCTAGAGCTCATTGAGGCTATTGCCGGACTGGCATCCTCACCGTTAGTTGCCCAAGAACCTATGGACTACCGTACGATAGAGCACAGAAGACCTGAGCCAACAGCCACAAGAACCCACGACTCGTCAGCAAGCAAGTGACACAAAATCCGAGCCCGGAACTCTATCAACCCTAGGCCCTCAAACCTGAACCCTGAACCCCAAAACCTCAAACTTTAACCCTAAACCCCTAAACCTCAAACCCCTGAACCCTAAACCCTAAACCCTGAACCCTAAACCCTAAACCAAAAAAACCCTAAACCCTAAACCCTAAACCAACAGGCTTGGCGTTCCAAGGGTTGCAGCGAAGCTCTTGGCCTCGACGTTGCGCAGGAGCAGCTCCCGAGAGGTCCATGAGCCCTCGCCCGAAGAGGGTTGCTATCGAGGGCTTAGGGTTATAGGGTTTAGGGTTATGGGGATTTAGGGTTTGGGGTTATAGGGTTTAGGGTTTAGGCTTTAGGGGTTTAGGGTTATAGGCTTATAGAGTTTAGGGTTATAGGGTTTATATATAGCCCTAGACTTATAGGGTTTAGGGTTATAGGGTTTAGGGTTATATATAGCCTTAAACCTATAGAGTTTGGGGTTATAGGGTTTAGGGTTATATATAACCCTAAACCTATAGGGTTTAGGGTTATAGGGTTTAGGGGTTTAGGGGAATAGAGTTATAGGGTTATAGGGTTATAGGGTTTAGGGTTGAGGGTTCAGGGTTCAGGGCTTTCGGGGGGTTCGGGTTTGGGGGTTAAGGGTTTAAGGGTTCAAGGGGTTAGGGGCTTATTTGGGGCTTGATCTACGGGGGTTCAGGGCTTGGGGGCTTAAAGTTGAGGGTTTGGACCCCTAAACCCTAAACCCTA